CTTCCGCCTTTTGTTGGGTACTTCGACAAAATTTAAGCAAAGAGGACTCTTTATACTTTTTTAATTCTCTCTAGCTTTCAATGGACTTTGCCATCATCATTATCAGGAGCTGCAATTACAATGATAACAGTAGCAACAATAGTGTAAAATGAATTTAAATTGACTTAACTTACAGTAGTATGTGAGGATGTTGCTAATTGTTGTTTACGTATAGGATGAGTGAAACGTGACAGTAACATGGTGAAAGCTGGATAGATGGTACAATGGTCAAAATTATATAAAATATGACAAGAACAAGTTAAAAACAGATTAAAATCCTCACATACTACTGTAAGTTAAGTCAATTTAAATTCATATTAAACTATTGTTGCTACTGTTATCATTGTAATTGCAGCCACTGATGATGATGGCAAAGTCCATTGAAAGCTAGAGAGAATTAAAAAAGTATAAAGAGTCCTCTTTGCTTAAATTTTGTCGAAGTACCCAACAAAAGGCGGAAGCTTTAATTTTTCACCTAACTGGTCTAGACGACAAAGACCACGTCTCAAGTTATATAGAAATATATATATACTTGTCTTTGGTGATATCGACAGCTATGCTAAGTGTAGCTTTTTGACTGACAATTGCTCAAGCTTACGTTAGTCTATGCTGCCATCATCAGGAGTCCGTTAGTGAGATTGGTGCTAGTATTTGATGTTATAAAATGTAAACGAGAACACATGGCAAGGTAATCAAAAACTGGATTTACGCGAATCCTTTTTGGAAAGCGATGTAAAACATGACCATGTTTTACTGATAAAAAACAAACGGATTGGGAACGTTGTTAATTGAGTAAATTCTAAAATTTCTGAAGTCACATCTTGGAATAACCTCAAGATGTTAACGTGGTCCAGGCATTATGTTTGGTTCATCAATAACAAGTAGACCAGACCATATATACGAAAGCTAGAAAGCTATCTAGCGGTCACCTTGGTGACTGGGCTATTAAATTTTTGACAGGGGAAAGCTTTTATAGCCTCTCTCAGGCAGAAAAATTCGACAGTACGAGGGATGTCTTTTAAGTTTTGCAAATGGAAATAAAACAACACGGTAGGTAGTTTTAAATGACTTTATTGTTTTTCGAAGTATTCTCCACGAAGATTAATGCACATCTGCATGCGCTCGAATCAATTTTCGAAGCACTTATTCCACTCGACTGGAACCTATGACCACGCAGTCTGTTTTTGATTTTCGGGAAAGTAAAGAAATCGTTAGGACATAGATCGGGACTATGTGGAGGATGGTCCAATAATTCCACGTTTTCTTCCGTTAAATACTGCCTTGTTTTTTGGGCTGTGTGTGAGCTTGCATTGTCTTGGTGGAGGATGATTCTTCTTTCGGGGTTGATTTTTCGAAGCTCGGTGATGACTTTTGGCAAACAAATAGTTGTATACCAATCCGCAGTAACAGTTCTTGGCTCATTAAGAGGAATTGTTGCAATATGACCCGCTTTTGACACAAATGTCGCGACCATCTTTTTCGAAACACTTCGAGAACGGATGACTTTTGTTGGCTTTTCTTCACCTTGGAACATCCAAACAGCCGACTGTCGTTTATTTTCTGGTTCATAACAGTAAATCCACGATTCATCACTACTAACAATGCTGTACACATTTTTTGAGTTTCCGGAATTGAAACGGTCACGCGTTTTTTGACACCAATTAACCCTGGCTGCTTTCTGCTCTTCAGTCAACAGGTGAGGTATCCAACGAGAACTTTCCTGGGTGACTGCCGTTTTTGGTGCACCCACCCTGGGATCGTCGGTAAGACTCACCCGTCCATGTTTGAGTTCTCCATACCAACGGGAAATTGTCGACTGATGTGGCAATTCGTTGCCGAAAACAGACAGTAACTCAGCAAGGCATTCTTGTTGCGATAATTGTCTCTGAAAAGTGTAATCAATTATGGCGCGAAAATGTTCTAGGTTGAGTTCCACTTTTCTAATCACTTGGTGACACTTAAAAATTCACTGTAGTGGGAACACTGCACGTATTGTCGTGAAACTTTGAATTTAAGTTTACTAAAGAGTGAGGTTAAGATTCAGTACTGACGTTCGATCCGCGCGGCCTACTATGTTTCTATATGCAAAACTTAAAAGACATCCCTCGTATATTGACCTGCCGGCCCTTCCTGCCCATAGTGTGAGATTATCCAGAAATGGCATACTCACTAAAACCCCTCAGTACCACAATAATGCTTGCAGCATTTCTTCATAGTGGATAGTGTTGTGCTAGGTTTTCATACCGAAGGCATTAGTCATCTATTCTGTATCGCATACATACATACCTATATAACTTTGCACATGTACAACCGAACAAAATACTCAACCTACCTACCACATTGGAGATCAGGTGATTAGCAGTGTCCTCCTATTCATTGCAATATACGCAATTCGCCTACTCTCTCTTTCTTACTCTCTTCAGGTAGCTTTCAAAACAACTATGTATGTCCTGTGAGGAACTGTGCAGTATAGTAATTTATCTGCATCGCTCCCTTGTCAATCCAAGTTTTAATATCAGGGATCAGCCTTTGGGCCCATTGAACTATGGTCAGTTGCATGCCATTTCTCCTGCCATCTGACAAAAAACGCCTCTCGTTCGACGCTTGTAGTTTCGGCGCCCTTTTTATATAGTGCACATTTCTCCGCAGCCAGCAAATCAATTGGGGGGATACCAGTGCATTGGTCAACTCCGTTCTGTAAGCGCATGCCGCTCGCAGCACTATTTTTTGCCTGCATCTCAAAATTAGCTTTCTATATTTCTTTTTCCTGAAGGTCTTGTTATATATAAGAGCTCCGTATAGCATAATCGAGTTTGCCATCCTTGCCAAAATCCTGCGCCTCTCTCTACACACACAGACACTTAATTGCATTTTGGCTCCGATTCTCGGAATTATCAACCTTAACAGCTAATGAAGTTAGCTTCTGCCTGCCAGAAAGTATAACTACTTCCGTCTTTTCAGAGCCAATTTCAGGCCATTTTCTTCCATCCATATGATAATTCTCATGATTCCGTATGCCAAGAGCCCTTCAAGTGTATCTCTCACCTTGCTAGTCACTACCATCGCAAGGTCGTCAGCATACCCTATCGAGCGAACTCCCGGCAGCATCTGTAACCGAAGAACCCCATCGTGGTGGTTCCAAAGCAACGGCCCTAAGCCAGAGCCCTGCGGTACTCCCATGATTATCTTCATCGTCTTTTGCCCTAGAAAAAAAACCGACGAAATGTCACCTTGCAGACTAGGTAGTTTTTAGTGCGCATATACCTAGTTTATTCCACATTTCCTCGCTATGATCGCTGTTCGCTGACGTTTAAGCAACACGTACAGCTACAAAACGAGTTCACAAGAGTACAACAGCTCGTGCCAAGTTAAAATTTTGTAGAATACCTACGTTGTCGCAAAGAACCTACGAAATGTCAAAAAAAAGCCGAAAGAATGTAACTTTTCAAGATTCGTAATACATGTGCCGTTCTCAAGCATTCATTCATCACAGACAGCAGGATTTCAGGTATCTGTTTAATCAGCACTTCACGATCTCATTTGGTATTTCATCTAGTCCTGGTGCCTTACCTTTTTTTAAGTGCGATGCAGTTTCTTCCAGCTCACTCATCGTAAAATCTGATACGTCCAGAGTTTCCTCAAATTTCCATTCGGTGAGAAACAATCCCTCTGCAATTTTTATTTGTTGTTCATTGTCCAGGTACGGGGCCTGTCTGTGAGTTTTAGCTTTCTAATAGCTCTCTTGTATGCTCGTCCCCAAACGACATTTTCTAAGTCATTTAATAAGTTTTTCCACATCCTCTGTTATGACCATTTCTAGTTTTCATTTTGGCATACTGATGTTTTCTGTACTCAAGCACTAGAACGCTATTCCTTGTTCCATTTGTTCTATGGCACTTTCTATTTTATCTTATTATATATATATATATATATATATATATATTTCATTATTCCACCAATACTCTGCTTTCCTCACTTTACCATTTTTGTGGGCCACGCCGAATGTGTTGTCATACGCTGTTATGATTACATGCTCCAGCAGTTAACCTTTGCCCTTGTAATCATCCAGTTTTGTGTTCCATAGGGCTAACTGCAGATTTCCGGGGAGTGCTTTTAATTTAGCTTCTTTTATCCTTCACCTGCGGATCTTATGTGTCTGACGTCTTTCATGTTCGATAGTTGATATTTTTAACATAGCATATTTATGGTCGCTCAGGTTTTCATCATCGAGTATTTTCCAGTTGTTGATTTTACCAATCAGGTTCTCACTGTGGAAATTAATGTCGATATAACGTGTTTGGTTTCCTCTGACAAAGGTTGGCTCTCCACCATTGCTTGCTATGTCAGTTACCCGGGATTCCCAAGATGTCGACCTCGAATTGAAATCTCCCCCATCAGGTACTGCTTTATACTGTGGTCCATATAAGCTTCCAATCCATTTAGTCTTTCTGAGAAAGCGTCAATTGTCATGTTTGGAGAGAGAATAGCTCTATTTTTTCCATCGTATTTGATTTGCTCTCCCTCATGTTTAAGAGCTTCGTCCAGTTCAATGTATCTAGCTGCAAATTCGTTAGCACTTCATCGTCTCTCCTCTGTGTCGTTTACCAGTATCAGCGTACTGGCGTCCTTTAAGAAAGTATTACTTGGCACGTCACCACCTTAGTCTCAGTATCAACTCCATGAGTTTTTCATGGATTTTTGATGCGTCATCTAGTCCTGCATTTAGCTCTTGCTTCACTACGTCATTGTTAATATCATTGGAACTCGTCGGAGCTCCGGTCATTTTTGTTTGTTTTGGTTCGCCCTCTTGCGTTGGAATTTCTGCTTTATCCCATTTTACGGTATCTAGCCACCTGTTCAACGATTTGTTAATTTCTTTTCTGGTAGTCTTGATAGAGTTGAGTCATTTAGCCGTGTCAACTTGTACCTGAGAGTTTAACAGATTATCCATGAGGTAGTATACCACTGGATTTTGTTTTTTCTTGAGTACAGCTACCCCAATCTCTCTTGCAGTCAACACTAGAGCTTTTAACTCCGGTTTATGTGAGATGCATTTCCGGACTTCCAAATCTCGTCCTCTCTAACGATGAACGGAATTGTCCCTTTTCCTTCTCCCTTTCTTGCTTCTTGTACTGTCGCAGCCGTCTAGCTGCTCCTATCCACCTCACTACCTGAAACCTCAGATTTTTCTGTTTTATTTTGTTTGGTTCCATGAATTTAATAACCGGCGCTTCGTGTGGCAAGGGGCGAGTCGATATAGCCAGGAACGGGTGTATCCTCGGATGCATTTTGCAATCCTACCTCAGTTCCCCAAGGCCCAGCCATTGCTTAACAGGTCCTGGGATGCGCGGATGGACCGACACTCGCCCGGAGCAGTGCAAGATTGAGAGTCTTGCACCCGAGGAACACTTCCTGATCAGGGCCCGAAGGGGCTAGACCTTGCTTCAACGCCGCAATCTCACGTCGGCAGAGCAAGCTCACAGCAGCTTCGTAGGAGCATTTTTAGTGGGCCATGAACCTGTAAGGATCCTCATTGTTCTTTCCATAGTCAGGTTGTTTTGTTCGGATCAGCGTCCTTAGATCTGCTGTCTTCGCCACGGTTCCCCTTGACAGCCTCCCGCTTCGAAACAGACGCTGTCAAAATCCTCTCGCAGAATGATCTTCGCCATCGGAGATGGTTACCCAATTTTGGTCAATCATCCCGGAGAGACCCTGACTACTTATACCGGTAGCCATCGGTCGACACTTCCTTGTCAGTTATAAAACAACGGGGTGCAAAACCGTGAAGGTTAGGGTTAGCAGTTGTGTATGAGAATCTATATCTTGCGCGTCAATACACCTTACATTCCGGGCTGTTAAATATGGACATAAAGCACAGTTCTGACCAACAGCTGCTCTATGCACTCTCTCGATAGTTCGATTCTGGTGATAGATGGCGCTTTGCTTGCTTGCGTATATATACCTGAGAAAGATTTGATGTATCCTCTTTGCCATTTGATGCAATTCGTGATAAAAACTACCAGGAAAATCAGTATGAAAGCTGAATTGGCCCACCATATTACTGGATTCCCCAAAAGGTATATCCTATATCGAGATCCAGAAAAGAACTGCCCCTAAAAAGAAACTTTGAATGAAAATAACACAAACAGAATACTATATATAGAATGATTAAAAAAGCAGTGACAACATTCCTAGGGCTGAAAGTACGTCCGCAAATAACACACATATACATATACAGGGTGTCCGCAAAGTTGGGGTTTTCCTTTACACGACGTGTAGATCTTGAAAATATAAGCAATTTTTCTTACTACCATATACACCAATGTCTTAAGGGAACCGAGTTAAAGGGCTCTGCAACATCAAAAATATCTGAATACCGTCCTGTAGCCGCGACATCACCGACTGGTACAAGGTCACTGGCTCAACCCGACGACAGAACTGGGTCGGGTTTAGGTCAGTATGCAACCTTCAACCGACGGTTACGGTCAGGCGTGTAGAGGTAATCGCGTAGACGAGAATCCCTCAACAAGCACTAGAGACGTGGCTAGAGAAGTGCAAGTATCAAAAACTAAAGTGTGGCAAACGCTGCGTGAAGAGGGGCTGTATCCGTTCCACGTCCAACGTGTACAAGCCCTTCAACCTGACGATTTTCCAGCAAGAGTGCGGTTTTGTGAGTGGTTGTTGCATCAACATGACAATAATCCGGACTTTTTGAAGTGCATATTGGTGACAGACGAATCTACGTTCACGCGTAATGGGGTGAATAACTTTCGCAACACTCATGTTTGGTCAGTAGAAAATCCGCACGCTGTCCGTCGGGCACATTTTCAACAAACATTTTCGGTGAATGTTTGGGCTGGCATGGTGAACGGTATGCTCATTGGACCATTTATTCTCCCAAATCGATTGGACGGGATGCAATACCTAGACTTTTTACGCAACATTTTGCCTTCCTTGTTAGAAGATGTGCCATTAAGTGTAAGACAATCAATGTGGTTTCTGCGTCTGCTCGGTAGCGCATCAGCTGATTTCATTTTCTGTTGGAGCGGTATGATTTCGGGCAGAGACGTACTTAGCCCTTCTCGTCAACTGGAGAATGAGTACTTTTTCCTGTATTTTTTTTACTTGGTCGCCCTCGTTTCACTACACATTACCTTTGTTATTTCAAGGGTAGTTGTTTCTGAAAAGGAAAACCCCAACTTTGCGGACACCCTGTATATATATATATATATATATAGTGTGCCTACGTCCCAAAGAATAATGAAGAATATATATATATATATATATATATATACAATTAATTGTTAATTGGGAAAATTGGAAACTTTTTAGGCTTTAGTAAAATCTTTTAACGGTAATCTCGAGCTTTCGGCATTCTCTATAGAGCCATCTTCAGGAGCTGAAAACACAATTATGATGCTAGCAAGCAATATGGGAAGGATTTAAATTATCAGACAACTTGCTCGTCGTTGAGGTTGCAGCCAAATGGTGTTTCAAAAAAAACGCGTGGATGAGAGCACTCGTTAAGAATATAAAACCTAACGGACCGACACATTGGGTTTATTGATAACGACGGAAACCATCGTTAGGTGTTGACACTATATATCAATACACCCGAACACATTAAAAATTAACGCAAAGCAATTTTGGGCACAAAACCGGAACGTCCCTTACCTAGACTTTTTACGTAACATTTTGCCTTCCTTGTTAGAAGATGTGCCATTAAGTGTAAGACAATCAATGTGGTTTCTGCGTCTATCGGTAGCGCATCAGCTGATTTCATTTTCTGTTGGAACGGTATGATTTCGGGCAGAGACGTACTTAGCCCTTCTCGTCAACTGGAGAATGAGTACTTTTTCCTGTATTTTTTTTACTTGGTCGCCCTCGTTTCACTACACATTACCTTTGTTATTTCAAGGGTAGTTGTTTCTGAAAAGGAAAACCCCAACTCTGCGGACACCCTGTATATATATATAGTGTGCCTACGTCCCAAAGAATAATGAAGAATATATATATATATATATATATATACAATTAATTGTTAATTGGGAAATTGGAAACTTTTTAGGCTTTAGTAAAATCTTTTAACGGTAATCTCGAGCTTTCGGCATTCTCTATAGAGCCATCTTCAGGAGCTGAAAACACAATTATGATGCTAGCAACCAATACGGAAGAGATTTCCATTGTCAAGCAACTTACTCAAAAATTGGTTTGTTGGTTGTAGTGTCAATGGAATGTTTAATTTCGTTTGTGAATGACAAACTGTCACCATCTAAATAAAAAATGTCGGAAAATTCTAGACAAAGGTTGGTAATAAGTTCTTTCTCTTCATCTTTAAAATGTTCAAGAAGTAATTGATCTCGAATAGCATCTCTACGGTTATACTGACTCTTGTTCTTCAGGGATATCTTAAAATTGTTGACAGACGTTTCATTAAAGGGTTCAAGACTGTAGTGAGAAATTCGCCGTTAGAATTGATTTTAACGATGGACTTTTTCTACCTCGCATGCCAGAAGAATGGCTTCGGTATTTTTAAGCTCTGACTTAAGCTTGACAACCTGTTCAACTTTAGGAGGAACTGAGATGACATTTTGAACTTGGAAATTCTCTTTGAAATGAGAAGTTTGGGGATTTTCTTTGAAATCAGAAGTTTTGGGATTTTCTTCACCTACTTTGAAAAGAGGGATGGTTTTTAAATTTTGTGATTAATTGACGATTTTTCAAATCGATAATGCAATCGTAGTGCTCGAGGAAATCTGAACCAAGAAGACCATCGAAAGCAATATCTAAATCGTGAATATAAATTTTGTGGTAATCGTTCGGAGCAAAGGGAACTAAAACTGCTTCTGTGATAAACATTTTTTCGTCCGTAATATCTCGGATGGAGATATTTTTGGCAACACGTTTCGTGTAATTTTGGCAGGTGTTTCGCTTGAAAATGGAACAACCGGCACAGTGGCCAATAAGGATTTTGAATTTTCCTGTCGCGTCGTTGATGTAGTCTAAGTTGCTTGGGCTTGAGAGAATTGTCGACGGGACTGTAATATGTTTATCTAAACGAAAATGTGGTCGGGAGTTGACGTTGCGTGGGGGTCTTTTACATTGAGCTTTTGCAAGCTCGCAATCATATGATCGGAATTGTCGTTGGGCTTCACAGGCGGTTCTTCTTTCGGAGAACTTTCGCGAAAATCCTGATACTGCAGGTTATAATCAGCGGTATCATCGTATTCATAACAGAAATCGTTATTACTACCAGGGTCAGGGAATTCGTCATACTGCGAAGGGGTGTAAGCAGGGTATTGGGTTTCTGTACCATACTCGCTGGCATAACTTGTATTGTAAAGGTTCAGGGTACTCGGAATATTCGTAGCAATCTGGGGCTACGTAGTTGATTCGATTTGTGGATTTGCTTGGTCGGAAGCTTCTTTGGAAGTTAGGGTTTTGGAAGCTCGGATTCTGTTGTATAACAGAAGGTCTTTTGGTACATTTATATTAGGAACATTTGGCCTAATAACAGAGGGTCTGCGATGGTAGGATGGTACTAATTGGAATTATGGGGCCTATTGTTTTGTGCTGGACGGTTAGGGCTAGTTCGAGGCGAAAATGATTGTGGCTGGAAAACTGGTCTCGGAATATTATATAATAATTGCAGTTCGCGCTTGATAAAAGCGACTGCAGTAAGGATATCTGTTTGGTGACCTGATCTTACAATCGGGCCAATTTTGGAATCTAGTCCTGTAAGGAGACAGTTTAGAGTCATAGTCTCTATTAATGAACTTTGAGCAGCTTTCTGCTCTCGGTTCATGTTTTGTCGATTGACGGCTGTATGCATCTTTGCCGCATGAGTTTGAAGTCTTGATCCAAAAGTTTGTGGGGATTCATTTGGTAGTTGACGCATGTGCTGCAGATCAGCAATTAAGGATGTGAGATCTCGAAGATCTCCGAAATGTGTTTCAAGGAGTGAGCGTATGTCTTTCCATGTCGAAGGATTACGGGAATTGAGTTCTGCTGCTCGTCCGCGCAGTTTGTTTTTTATATGTAGGACGACGAGAAGACGCTGTTCCTCGACAGCCATTTATTGCGTCGTTCTACACGCCTTGATAAAAGTCGAAAGCAATATCGGGTTGCCATCGTATTCAGGGACGATTGAGAATATTTCGGACAGTCTATAAGGGTCGATGTTTGCATGAGCGTTATCAAGAACTTCAGGTGCTTGGTAATCGTCTGATCCATGCTCAGACATGGTGATTGGAAATAAGTTTCAGGAAGATTCGACAATAGTACGCAAAAATATACGAATAAATATGGGAAAATGCGTAAAAGTGGTAGAAAATACGTAAAAGGTCGTAAATGAATGGGAAAAATATAGAAAGTATTGCGCAAAATACGAAAATCACTCAATAAATACGCAAAAATAGAAGAATATAGAGATAATTGCAAACGATCGTAGATTCAATTGTACATTACCGGTGGTACATCAGGAGGCAGTCGTGTTCTCCAGAGGAGGCTCTCGGATGTTTCCAAGTAGACTCTCTGCATTTGGGTGTCTGCTGCTCGCTGTGCCCTTTTCTTTCTTATTTTGCTTCTTCTTCTTAGTCGTTTCCTTTCTTCTTATTTCTTTTTGTTACTTGTAGGCTCGTGGTCCTTTGTAGCCCGAAGGATAGACATCCACCACACTAGTGAGCGTTCGCGTGTTCTAATGCGTTGAAGCTATCCCACTTCTCTGACACCAATTGTTATATCATTTAAATTCAACTTTACTTTTTAAAAAATTTATTTGAGGACAGTAGCTACTGTCCGTTACAAATTACAAACGTTTACAATTACTTGACTTAAGTGACTGTTACGATGTCTACCCGGGTATTGAACAATATGAAATGGGTCCAAGGCCTATTTATACTATTGGTGTGCTTACAAAGCACTTCTAGAAAACAAAGCATAAGCAACGAGTTAGCTAGAAGTCGTTATCTGTTGCTAAGCTAGCGTCTGATGCAACATTGTATGGAATAGTAAGCCCATTGTTATGAGTGCATATAACATATATATATATATATATGTTATCCAAATTAAGTGTCCACCATTAGTAACTTTGTTATTAGTGAAAATACAAAGTTGTTTGAATTAGCAAACTAGTAGCATTTTTAACGCTGGTAAAAATGAGAAATAAAAAAAAACAATTGAGAGTCGTTATTTTGATTTTTTTCAGTAAAATAACATTTTTTTAAATGGCAACCCCTGTATATTATATTTTTTTCTGTTAAAGCATCAAATTTTAAACAAAAAAGCTTACAATAACTTTTCTCCTAGGTTACAAATTGTTGAAGTTATGGCCTCCAATCTGAAACAATTAAATTGTATCGACAAACTTTATTTTCAACATCAACTTATAATCTTACAAAATACAATAACAATTTTTTTTAAAGAAGATGCTCGAAAACACCACCTTGTTCTTCAATACATTTTTGGGCACGTTTTTCAACTGCTCGAACTGTCTTAAGTATGGTCCTACCATCTATCTGGGTTATCTTTTCCCTAACTGCAGTCTTTAACGCGTCAAGGTTATCGTACCTTCGCTTGTAAATTTGGTTCTTCAAGTAACCCCACAAGAAGTAATCAAGTGGGTTTAGATCTGGTGATCTGGGAGGCCACTGTATTGGGCCATTTGTTCCTATCCACTGATCATTAAAAGTAGTACTTAGAAAATGATAAGTACCTCTGGAGTTGTGGGCAGGTGCGCCATCTTGCTGAAAATGCAGATGATGTCTACTTATAAGATCCAATTCGTCTAAGAAATTAGTCAGAATTTCTGACATAAATTCCACATATCTTTCACCAGTTAGGGTTCCCTCATAAAAGAACGGGCCAACAATTTTTGAACCAATTATACCGCACCAAACGTTGAAACTGAAACGGACTTGTGGGCCTCTTGGATGTACTAACAAAATATTTTCTCTTGACCAATAATGGTGGTTTTTTCTATTAAACATTCCAGAATTTGAAAAATTTGATTCATCTGTCCATAAAAGGTAACGAAAGTTATTTACATTTTGGCGACAGAAGCTAAGATACCAATGGCAAAAAACAAGTCTTCTCTCTGGATCCCCTGCCAAAAGCGTTTGAACTGGTCGGTACTTATACGGAATAAATTTGTATTTTTTTAAAATCCTTTGAACAGTACCATAACTGAAATTAGAGTCCTTGAGAATATCTGCTGTTGAATTCTCACGATAAGCTTCAAAATATCCAATAACTGCAATTTCCGTGGCCTCGCTTATTATGAATTCTTTTTTTGCCCTTGTTTTAGCAAAAACATTTTCGTTGCCCCTAAATTTTCGATAAAGTCTCAGAAAATATCGTTCATACGGTTGAATGCGAGCGGGATATAATTCACTGTAGTATTCTCTTGCTCTCAAGGAGGATTTTCTGCACACTAAATAGCATTCTAACATATCACACTTTTCTTCATGGGAGAACATTTTTCTTTAAATTAATGACACAATAAAGCTTATAAACAAGTATTTACACTAATGCTTGACATTATTTGATTTTATCATTGTTTTCCAAAGCCTTCTAGTTGCGAGTATGTCCAGTTTAACAATTTGTCGCTTATCTTAATGCTGTCAAATCGCGAACGCCATGTTGTTTTCATAGCCGTCTTAATATTATAATACTGCAAATAATTAAAAATATTTATCGTTATTTTGACTTTATTTTTGACTTTAGCGGAAAAGTCATTATGAACTTTTTTGTTTAAAATTTGATGCTTTAACAGAAAAAAATATAATATACAGGGGTTTCCATTTAAAAAAATGTTATTTTACTGAAAAAAAATCAAAATAACGACTCTCAATTGTTTTTTTTTATTTTTCATTTTTACCAGCGTTAAAAATGCTACTAGTTTGCTAATTTAAACAACTTTGTATTTTTACTAATAACAAAGTTACCAATGGTGGACACTTAATTTGGATAACCCTGTATATATATATATAGGTGAAAAATTAAAGCGTCCGCCTTTTGTTGGGTACTTCGACAAAATTTAAGCAAAGAGGACTCTTTATACTTTTTTTAATTCTCTCTAGCTTTCAGTGGACTTTGCCATCATCATCAGGAGCTGCAATTACATTGATAACAGTAGCAACAATAGTGTAAAATGACTTTAAATTGACTTAACTTACAGTAGTATGTGCGGACGTTGCTAATTGTTGTTTACGTTCAGGATGAGGGAAACACCCAGTAACGTGGTGAAAGCTGGATAGATGGTACAATGGTCAAAATTATATAAAATACACACAAATGTGTGACAAGAACAAGTTAAAAACAGATAAAAATTTTTTAGAACATGAAAGCATTACATCGTGAAGCCACTTGATGATTGCACAAAATGGTGGTCATGGAATAGTGAGTGAGATGAACCCTTTGACAGAAGGCCGAAGGTTGTCAATATCTGTGTAGAAAGATGGAACGAATTGTGGGCGTGTGACACGTTGCCAAATCACTTCAGATGATGTGATTTTCAGAATGTTATGTAAGAAATTGTTAAACCGACCAGAGGCAGTTGAATTAACTATATTTTAATTAATGGGAAATTAAATTAACAATTATTATTAAATCGTGAGGAGAAAATTATTAGAATTTGAGTGGAATGAAGTTTATTGGTGGAATCGACCAAGAAACAGATTCCATTTATTTTCGCAGTTTAGCAAATATGAGTAAATGACACTCAGTTGCTTAACATCTGTCTTTTTGTTGATACAGTTGTTATTCATGAAAATGTGGGACATTTCCAGGAATAAACGTTTGGATAGGTGTTCTTCTTTATCAAGAACTTTGATACTTGTGTAATTCATAGAGTGCCCTGTTGTATTAACATGAGATGTTATAGCGCATCTTTCAGGATGAAGCCTAGAATCACTTTTGTGTAATGTAATCCTTCCTTTAAGAGATCTAGAGGTCTGACCTATGTATATTTGGTTGCAGTTGTTGCAATTGATGGAGTAGACTGTGTTGGTTAAGCCAAGCAGCGGGACTCTGTCTTTCATTTTTGAAAAAATGCAGTTTATAGTGAGGACGGATTTGCAAGCAATTCGAAAGTTCAAAGGACTGCACAATCTGATCAGCTTAGGGGTCAGTTCCTTGATATAGGGTAGAACAGCAAAACCAGGTCTGGAGTTTGGGTTGGTGATTGTACTGTTTGAATTGATGTTATTGTTGGGAATTCTATCAGTTCTGTTATTAGGGGTTGTGCGACTATTACTTGTATCATTAGAGTTTGGCAAAATATTGGAAGGTGAACCAACACAGTCTACTCCATCAATTGCAACAACTGCAACCAAATATACATAGGTCAGACTTCTAGATCTCTTAAAGGAAGGATTACATCACACAAAAGTGATTCTAGGCTTCATCCTCAAAGATGCGCTCTAGCATCTCAGGTTAACACAACAGGGCACTCTATGAATTACACAAGTATCAAAGTTCTTGATAAAGAAAAACACCTATCCAAACGTTTATTCCTGGAAATGTCCCACATTTTCATGAATAACAACTGTATCAACAAAAAGACAGATGTTAAGCAACTGAGTGTCACTTACTCATATTTGCTAAACTGCGAAAAATTGGAGAACTTACATATCTCCCCAAATTTGGCTCTTCACAACCATAAATGGAATCTGTTTCTTGGTCGATTCCACCAATAAACTTCATTCCACTCAAATTCTAATAATTTTCTCCTCACGATGTAATAATAATTGTTAATTTAATTTCCCATTAATTAAAATATAGTTAATTCAACTGCCTCTGATCGGTTTAACAATTTCTTACATAACATTCTGAAAATCACATCATCTGAAGTGATTTGGCAACGTGGCACACGCCCACAATTCATTCCATCTTTCTACACAGACATTGACAACCTTCGGCCTTCTGTCAAAGGGTTCATCTCACTCACTATTCCATGACCACCATTTTGTGCAATCATCAAGTGGCTTCACGATGTAATGCTTTCATGTTCTAAAAATGTTTAATCTGTTTTTAACTTGTTCTTGTCACACATTTGTGTGTATTTTATATAATTTTGACCATTGTACCATCTATCCAGCTTTCACCATGTTACTGGGTGTTTCCCTCATCCTGAACGTAAACAACAATTAGCAACATCCTCACATACTACTGTAAGTTAAGTCAATTTAAATTCATTTTACACTATTGTTGCTACTGTTATCATTGTAATTGCAGCTCCTGATAATGATGATGGCAAAGTCCATTGAAAGCTAGAGAGAATTAAAAAAGTATAAAGAGTCCTCTTTGCTTAAATTTTGTCGAAGTACCCAACAAAAGGCGGAAGCTTTAATTTTTCACCTAACTGGTCTAGACGGCAATTACCACGTCTCAAGTTATATATATATATAGAGAGAGAGAATATGATCATGCGGAGAAAGGTATATAACAAGTAGGAAAATAATGGGCAAAATCCGCAAAAAAGGAGGAAAGTGGATTCGAGCAGAAAATAGGATAGGATACCCTTTGTAGATCCTTTGGGCTTGAATTACCACAACAAGTGGCTATAACCGGCCGCGTGGTGGTGGTTAGACGTGTCCTTGAAAATTCGAGGTCGTATAGCCATTTTATACTACAATGTGTAGGTTGGCTCTTGTTGTGGACTTCGTGTGTCGTTTTTTCCCCTCCAACTTCGTTTCCTCAGGTTACACCCGTATCCGGATGTGTGGGCATGTGTATCTACTTTTGTAGTTTCATATCTGCATTCATTTCGGGCCTGATGAAGCCAACCAGCAGAAATACGTATCGCTCGGGTTACCTATCATATTTTCTGCTCGAATCCACTTTCCTCCTTTTTGCGGATTTTGCCCATTATTTTCCTACTTGTTATATATATATACAGGGTGACTTTGAAGTTGAGTCATTCATTTTCAGAATATGTGTGTAAAAATAAAAAAAAATTTTTTTTACCTTGTTTTATAAAGTATACTCCCGACAAGTATTTCAG